TAATTGGGAATATGCTGAAATCCATAATTTGTCACATCGGAGAAGGGATGAGAGGCTGTGTGCGTGCATATGGTATAGAAGGATCCTGAATATAGAAGAAGAGGAAGGGCCAAAACTACATGCATGTGAATCGAATAATTCATTTAGTTAGCTTCTATCTATTTCTGCTTCTTTTTTCAAACTATGCTGCAAAACCCAACCTCCCATGTGCCTTCACTTATTGCCGTCTTTTCCTCTTTTTGTTTTTTGTTTCATTAATAAATTATTGCTACCATTTTTTTTCGCGTAAGATTTTTATTTATTTTGTTCATTCTCTTTTTGGTTTCAACTCGGGTCGATCTGGTTTAATGAGACTCAGAACAGTGGCAAAAAGTTACTAGTAAAATGTACCTATAATGCTGTATTGTCCCGTCTATTATAAGCATGCACGAACCTTTCTAGAATTACCGTTTATATTTGATCCACAAACAAAAATTGGTAAAATATCAAAATTTTAAAATCCGCTGTCAGAATTCTATTAGTGTGATTCCGAATTCTGGTAGCTTGCTTTAAAATTTTAGCAGGGAGGTTATTTATCCAAAATTTTTCTTACCAAGGTAAAAAAAAATCAATAGTGCACAAAATAAATCCTATTTTTTTCATTTTTTTCTCTATTAGCATAGTACATTTCTCTAATCATGGTTGTGCTAACACTATATAGTAACTTTAATAAGGAGCTACAATATCTTTCTTGTGTTAGCACTAAATATTTACTTAAAATAGAAGCTACAATATCTTTCTTGCAATTGTTAAGCTCTCAACTTTATCTGTTTTTTATTTGGTCATATCAATACATAAGCAAAATCGAAAATATGGTGCTTGTCTCAAAAACCTTTGCGCCCATGAAAATTTCTTTTATATGTTAGATATGGTGTGTATATCCTATATGTGAAAATGGTGTAGACATGCAAATAAAATATGAAAAATCCTGTAAAAAAGCCAACTGTATTGAAGAAGTGAAAAGAAAGAGGACAAGTAGCACCCATGACCAACCAAATCTAGGAAATCTGCCAAATCATCACAAAAGGCTTAAAAACCAAATATTGCCAACAACCCTCAAAATCTTACAAGCCCATGAGTCATGACCCTTATGGCAATATGCATGTGAATTTGTCACCAATTATAGCTAACCCCACCTCACTAGTAGCTATACCACATTAAGACTATCAACTGTAAACTCTTTTCACCCTCCCCACCACCCACAGACACCCTCTTACATAGGAGTGTGAATGTGTCACCAAATTATATATACATTTAAACAAAAAGATTTATTAATATATATATATATATATATATATATATATATATATATATATATATATAGAAGAAATTAATAATCCTCCGGTCCACAATAAGTGATCAATTTGCTTTTGGCACGCCCATTAAAAAAATTAAATTCTATACGATAATACCTAGTATGACTAAACTACCCTTAATTAAATATTTAGTGTGAGGAGTAAGAAAACTTTTTAGGAATATGTACATAAGGATGGCCACCATATCTGACTGAACCCGCTCATTTGCCACTCCTAGCTAATGTTATGCCCCACCCGGCCCTTAACACAGCCAATCCTAGTGTGCATGTACACGTGTAGACATGTGAACTATAAACCAACCTCCTTACTGCTGACCAAAATTTATTAGGCCTCTCTGCTTCTGGCGGTTGTCAGCTGAATTTATGGTGGCTAGCTGAGAACACCCACCTTGTTATTTTCATCACTTTACTAACGCAGATGCCGGAGAACCCTAAAAATAGGATGTGAAAATACCTCGTCATATGCTTTCAATTATATTAGACTTATCCACAAATAACAATACTGCGGATGGTACACACTTTTAGAAATAGAATACAAGTCCTCTAAATTACTGTATATTACTACTACTTAGTCAAACTTGAGTCTTTAAATCTAAAAGGCCATTCTCCCGTCGTTTATTGTGTTGTAAATGAATACAAATATACGGANACGATCCACGGGTCAATTTCCGAGATTACTGTGTGTCACCCACATTATTAGAGTATTATGGCACCCGAAGCCCGCAACTAGCTTCTGCTTGTGTGCGTGCCGCCCCGTACCATCACTCCGCCATCTCCATACTCGTCCCGCTGAACCTGGATTCTGATACCAGTTGTTGGGCCAAACTAGCCCAAATACACTCTTAATATGGTGTGATATTGTCCGCTGTGGGTCAATCCCGCACGTTTTCCTCAAAAGGCCTCACACCATTAAGAAATCACTACACCTTTTATATGTAGACTCCCAATCTTTTCAGCTACCAACGTGGGACTTTGTTCGCACACCCACAATCTCCCCCTTGAACTAAGTTCCACGTGGCCCACTACCACGATCCACGGGTCAATTTCCGAGATTACTATGTGCCACCCACATTATTAGAGTATTATGGCACCCGAAGCCCGCAACTAGCTTCTGCTTGTGTGCGTGCGGCCCCGCACCATTTCTCCGCCATCTCCATACTCGTCCCGCTGAACCTGGGCTTTGATACCAGTTGTTGGGCCAAACTAGCCCAAATGCACTTTTAATATGGTGTGATATTGTCCACTTTGGGCCAAGCCCGCACGATTTTCCCCAAAAAACCTCACACCATTAAGAGATCCCTACACCTTATATATAGACTCTCAATCTTTTCAGCTACCAATGTGGGACTTCGTCGCACACCCAACACTATCATTATCATTTCCCCTCAAAATGACTGTAACTAGACCATCAAGGATCGAGTGTGCTGAGATGCATCAGATCCCTTTACTTTTAACCATAAATCTCATATTCGATCATTAAAATGATTTTTTTTTTTTTAAAATAGAAAGCGTATCTCAACTCCTTTAACGGGCCATATACAACAAAAATTTGAATTATAATCAGACCAGTAAATTTCGCATGCCATGTTGATTGATAAACCATAAAAGAGAAACTAATTAGAACAATAAATTAAATAACTATAGGTGGAACGATTCATTAGACACATGAATCTAAATCTTATAAGATCTATCAATCTCAATCTGATGATAGGCTATAATTGCATATTTTAGTCGCTTATTACACTCGAATTTACTGCACTTTAATTGAGTTTGCGCTTTAATCGCTAGTGTTTTGCACTAATTGTGTGTTTTATGCCTTGTAGGTGTGATTCCGAGCTATATAGATGTTATGGAATGAATTTAAGTGATTTGAAGCTTTGAAGTCTGAGTAAAAGCTCAAGGAATTAAGCCGGGATCGTGTCCGGGGGTCAAATTTGATAATTAAGTACGAACGAAGACTTGAGGAGGCATATTGCGCACTGTCTAGTAAAATAGACATAACTTTTTGCTCAGAACTCCATTTGGGCTCCACAATATATGGTTAGAAAGCTAACTCAAAGGGCTACAACTTTCATGTTTTACGTTTTTCCGAATTCCAAACGGAACAGGGTGAAAAACCGCGGTTTTGCCGCGACCGCGGCAGAACCGCGGCAGAACCGCGGTGGAAGGCAGTTTCTGAAGAATGAAGAATCCGCGAGGGCGTTTGGCCGCGGTTCCACCGCGATCGCGGTGAAACCGCGGTGGGAAGCGTAAATTTCAGGGGCTAAAGTGTAAAACATGGGATTTTAAGTCCTAAACCCTATATAAAACAAAGGAGGCCGGCCTAGAACAGGGAGGAGGACATATTTTGGACACAAATTAGACCTAAGGAGGCGGAGAGACACTACTTTAGGGTTAGACAACACCCTTGGAGGCAAGAACACATTGGGAGCAAGGCGGAGAATTCTTCTACAAGTTTTTCCTTCCTCTTCCTATTTCTCATTGTTGGTTATGACTTTTAGTATTGTAGTTTTACATACTATTATGAATAGCTAATTTGTTATCTACAGTTTTGATAGAACCTTTTGTAGGATAAATTCTTGTTATGTTTTTATATAATTGAGCCATAGCTTTTCTCTATTCGTTCAACTACGTTTATATTCTGGTTGATTGAAGAGCTCTCAATTAGCTGTGCCTATTTAGTATGCATAACTCGGGAGAGAGTGCATATTTAGGTAATTGTTGAACAACACCACTCCCAAAGTATATGAAGGATCAATAACCGAGGGTTTAAAGGCGGGATTAGGGATAACGAAGCCTTGGGTGCGATCTAAAGTGAGCTGTATTAAAAGCCAGCTAGCGTATCTCGGGAGAGTGCGTCTAGTAAATTGTCGTAATTACTCGGGAGAGATTTACGGTAACAAGAGTGCTCATGATCGGTAGAGAATACTTAGGCGAAATTATAGAAGACATAGCAGGAAGGATTCCGACAATTGGGAAAATCATAACTCTAGACCTCCTTAATCTTTTCTCTAACCCTCAATATCTTTAGTTGTTAATTTACTATTTTAATTTGTTAGTTAAGTAGTTAAACACAAGAATCTTAATATCTATAAGTTAGGAATTGTTCAAGCTTGTCTTCTTGGTGATAGTGAACAGCTGTAGCTAAACCTTAGTTCTCTATGAGATTCGACTCCGGACTTGTAAACCGGATTATATTTGCAACGACCGCATTGTCCTTTTTATAAGGCATAGTTGGGCGTGATCACAATCACTTCTATAATGACCTAAACAAAAAATTCAATGTTGGCATTTGATAGAATTAAAAGGGGAAAAATTCATGATCATGTGAACAGAATGAAAGACAAAAAGATAGGCATCTGCTTACGTTGATGGCATGCACCAATTTTAAAAGGGGTATTATCACTTTTAGTCCGCGCCATAAACTATTATATCTGGTGGTCGAAAAAGTATATAAAATTTATATAATTTTTGTATATAACATACATAATGTATATATATACAAAAAATATATAATTTTTTATATATTTTTTCGACTATTATTTTTACGGCAGCTATATATATAGTGTCATTTTTTCCATTTTAAAATCCTACAACTACCTTCTTCCCCTCTCCCTCGCCTCATCTACTATCATAATTAGTAGGCTTCGAATATCTTTTTCTTTTTGACACAAATTTTTTTGGACCAAACTAGTCATTTTCTTTATTCCTTTAAATAAATTCGGCAATCACACTACTCTATAGCTCAAAGTCCTGATCCTTTTTCTGCAAAAGTTCAGAATTCACAACTCCTGCATTTTCTTGTTTCCTTCTAAATATACCTGAAAATCCTATAGAGGAACTTTCTGTTCTTCCAAATTTATTGCCGTCCAAATTGTTTCAGTTTCACTATATATGCTCACTTTATTCAACTTCTCCATACATGAAATTTATCTCTAAATTTAGTATTTGAAGATATTAATTGACAATGGAGTTTGGTTTGATCAATGCTGCTCTTCTTTCATTTTTCTTCTTTCTTGGCTTCTGTTCTTCTGAAAAAGGTCACAAAATCTTACCCCTTTTTGCCTTTTTTTCTTCTAGTTGATTATGAATTTGCTACCAAGAATACTAAGTCTTTTATGTTATGGATCGAAACTTATAGCTTCATTCTTTACTCATTCGATAATGGGGAAGAATTACGGAAAATCGTCTGATAACACTTCTTACTACTATGTATTTTTTAATGATATTCGATGATCAAGATTATTCCCGTGAAACTCTTTCATTTAATAGAAGTAGATTGTGATTGTTATGAAGCAAATAACATTTCCTATTGATTTTCATTATTCTGTACATAATTTAATCAATTTTAGCAGTTTGTCATATTTTTCAAGTTATTAATCCCAATTTTATTGAAAATTACCTGTAATTATTTTTGGATTCAAATTATACACACTAGTAATATAATTTTTTTTTTATACTATCAGTGTAATTTAGCATGTGTTAACAGGTTAGTTACCAACTGGAGTAATACTATTTATCATAGAATTTTACCAACAATTATCTTATAAATGATCTCATTATTCAAATATTTTCTTCACTTTTAAAACAATAGAAATTAAACTCATTATCTATTAATTTACAGAATTAAAAATATTTTACTTGTCAATGTGTAGAAGTTAAAAGAATTCTTTGTATGATTTGCAGCTCCAAACTACTCATTCATGCACCAAGCAACTACAGCACCAGAGACTTCATACTACGACTATATAATCATCGGCGGCGGCACCGCCGGCTGCCCATTAGCCGCCACACTTTCTCAGAACTACAGCGTTCTTTTACTCGAACGCGGCGGTTCGCCTTACGGAAATCCAAATATCACAAATTTATCTGCATTCGGATTAGTACTTTCTGATCTCTCGCCAACTTCGCCTTCTCAGCGTTTCATTTCCGAGGATGGTGTCATCAACGCGCGTGCACGCGTCCTGGGCGGAGGAAGCTGCTTAAACGCCGGGTTTTACTCACGCGCCGGCACAAAGTACGTGAACAGCGTGGGGTGGGATGGTAAGCTGGTGAATGAATCGTATATTTGGGTGGAAAATAAAGTGGCGTTTCAGCCGCCGGTTAAGCAGTGGCAATCCGCCGTGCGCGACGGTCTTGTGGAATCTGGGGTATTGCCGTACAATGGTTTTACATATGATCATATAAATGGGACTAAGGTTGGTGGCACTATCTTCGACGCCGACGGCAGCCGCCACACGGCTGCCGATCTTCTTGAGTATGCTAACCCTAGTGGCATCACTGTCCTTCTGCATGCTTCTGTGCATAAAATCTTGTTCAATACCAAAGGTACGTATATTTTTCTTGCATAATTTATTTTATATAACAATATTTGACGGGAAATATAATTTAAGAAAGAAAGACAAAATTTTGGAACATGTATATCAAAAGTATCCTTAGATAAGTATATAGTTTGAAATACGTCATAATATTTCTATCGTTATGAAGATATCATTAAGAGTAAAATAATTTTTTTAATAAACCTTCCAAATATAGAAAGATGCTATTTTTTCTGGTACATGCTACAAGGAAAGAGTCTCAAACAAATTTTAGAATAAATAAGTAAAAGAAATCCAAGCTATGCAGATTCGGAAAGCAAATTGATTGTGATAAAAAATAGATCGGGGATTTTAAGTCAGTAGTTGCAGAATAATAATAACACATATTACTATAGTTCTAATGAAGAAAGTGTCAATATACTGAGACTACCATATATATTGATCGTGAGATTAAGGAGTTTCATATTTTAAACTTTGGGTTAAGAAAGTACTTAATAAAATAATGAGAAAACTGCGTATAGCCGTTCCCAAAAATAATAGCCTGCATAATGTATCTCTTTAAATATTACTCCCTCCGTACCAGTTTATGTGAACCTATTTCCTTTTTGGTCCGTTCCAAAAAGAATGACTTTCTAAATTAGGAAACAATTTAGCTTAAACTTCCAATTCTACCTTTAATGAGAAGCTTTATAGCCACACAAATACTTTGAGCTCCATTTTGACTTGTTTAGGACCACAAATTTCAAAAGTCATCAGTTTTTCTGAAACTCCGTGCCCAGTCAAACATGTTCACATAAATTGGAACAGAGGGAGTAATAATATATAATATACATAAAATATACATATTTCGTACATAATCAGAGCGCATATTTTGTATATTTGACTAGCAGATACAATTATTTTTGACCGATCAGCCAAATATGTAACTTGCAGGAGTGGCAAGGCCAATAGCTCGTGGTGTAGTATTTAGAGATGCATTAGGAAAGAAACACAAGGCCTATTTGAAAAGAGGAGAAATGAATGAAGTAATTGTTTCATCTGGGGCCCTTGGGAGCCCACAAATGTTAATGTTAAGTGGGGTAGGCCCATCAGCCCAATTAAAGGCCCATAATATCACTGTTGTATTGGATCAGCCCAATGTTGGTCAAGGCATGTCGGACAACCCAATGAATGCCATTTTTGTACCTTCACCTGTCCCTGTTGAAGTCTCTCTCATTCAAGTTGTTGGTATTACTCACTTTGGCAGTTATATTGAAGCTGCCTCCGGCGAGAACTTCGCCGGCCATGAAACTCAAAGTGATTATGGAATGTTTTCCCCTAAGGTATTTTTCTTACCATTTAAGCGCAAATAGTATTTTAATTTATTTATTTTTCAAGTTACTAATTCCGCTTTTACAAATTTGTTACAAGTATTGAATAGTTTAAGATTTGATCGTGTAAATTGTTGGTATAAAGAAGTTTAACTCATTTTTCTCATCCAAGATTATTGTCTAGTGATAGAATTGATAGAAATCTCTCCCATAATATGTGAATATTTGACTCTAAGTGGGCGTTTGGACATAAGAATTGTAAAATTCCAAAAAAAGTAAAAAAATAAATTCAAGTGAAAATGGTATTTGAAAATTAGAGTTGTATTTGGATTTTTATGAGTTATGTGACTGAATTTCGAAAAACAGCTTTTTGGAATTGTTCAAATTTTCGAAAAATTTCAAAATTCATCTTTAAGTGAAAATTAAAATTTTTATGGCCAAACACTGATTTCGGAAAAAAAGTGAAAAAATTTTCATGGCAAAACGGGCTCTCTCTTTCTCTTTCCCTTTCCATTTTCTAAACCCACTAGTATATAATTGGAAAAAAATTGGACAAGAAAAGGTATTCTTGCCGGCCCAAATATTGCCTAATTTAAATGTTTAATGGATCTAGATATGCCCATTAGAGTCCTAGTGTTTATTGGGCTTTTGGCATATTTGGCCGGTTGATACAATTACTATTCAAATATACAAAAAAATATATTGATTATTATAAAATAAGGAGTGATTTTATTTTGTGCCACACAGCTTACACTAGTTGTGTGAGGCTTCTATTTATCTCACATATTTATGGACCCATATCTTACACATCTGGGTCCACAAAAATTTGGGACCCACACAGTTGTGAGACAAAAAAGATGTCTCACACAACTAGTGTAAGTTGTGTGAGACATAAAATAAAATTTTTCATAAAATAAGTATGTTATATGTATATTTTTTATTATATAAAAATAAATATTTTTTGAATATTAATATGGGGGGTTTGTTACATAAATAGCCGGCCAGATTCAAGGTTTTCTTTTTCTAGCTGGTACATATTGATTATACACATTAATATATACATATATTATATATCTGATGGCTATTTTTAATTGAAGAGATTAGCTGGGCGGCTATTTAAGTTAAAGTCCCAATATTTTTTTTTTATTTAATTCAACACAAAGTTGAAAAGACCATTTTTTATTTTTTCCATTTTTCAGATTGGGCAGCTATCAACAGTGCCACCAAAACAAAGAACACCAGAAGCCTTGGAAAAAGCCATAAATGCCATGAGTGAACTAGATGATGCAGCTTTTAGAGGAGGATTCATAATAGAAAAGATAATGGGCCCAATATCCACTGGACACTTGGAGCTCCGAACCCGGAACCCGAATGACAACCCATCAGTCACCTTCAACTACTTCAAACAGCCAGAGGATTTACAAAGATGTGTAAATGGGCTCAAAGTGATTGAAAACATAATAGAATCAAAATCATTCTCCAAATTCAGATATGATACACTTTCAATACCAGCATTACTCAATTTGACAGCAGGTGCTCCAGTGAATTTATTGCCAAGACATGACAATGTTTCAGTGTCCTTAGAACAATTTTGTAAGGACACAGTCATGACAATTTGGCATTACCATGGGGGGTGTCAAGTTGGAAGGGTGGTTGATCAAGATTATAAGGTTATTGGGATTGGAAAATTAAGGGTAATTGATGGTTCAACTTTTACTTACTCTCCTGGAACTAATCCTCAAGCCACTGTCATGATGCTAGGAAGGTCAGTACTAATTTATATAAAATAGTATGAAGGGGATCGGAGCAACGGTAAAGTTGTCTCCATGTGACCTATAGACCACGGGTTCAAGCTGTGGAATTAGTCATTGATGCTTGCGTCAGGGTAGACTGCCTACATCATACCCCTTGGAGCAACGGTGAAGTTGTGTTTGTGTGACCTGTAGGTCATGGGTTCAAGTCGTGGAATCAGCCACTGAGGCTTGCGTCAGGGCGGGCTGCCTATATCACACCCATTGGAGCAACGGTAAAGTTGTCTCCGTGTGACCTATAGGTCACGAGTTCAAGCTGTGGAATCAACCGCTGTTGCTTGCGTTAGGGTAGGCTGCCTACATCACACCCCTTGGGGTGCGGTTCTTTCCTGAACCTTGCGTGAATGCGGGATGCTCCGTACACCGGGCTGATTTTTTTATACTACAACTACTATAGTATATATAGATGTCTAAGTTCTTGAAAAGTGTGATGATTACTAAAAGGAATTTTTTGTGTGTGAAATGTGCAGGTATATGGGAGTAAGAATACTGAATGAGAGACTTGCAAAAGAGAAGAGTCATATTAATTAATTGATGATTTTATTCGTTGTTTTTAATTTTGTTACCTTTTGTTGCATGAGCTGAGGGTGCATGGATTAAGTACACGTATACCACTATATATGATGTATATTGTCTTTATTCTCTGTAATAATCCCAAAAATTTAATACTATGTTTTAGAGGCATGTGTGAGGTTTTGAGCTTAATTATTCTGGAGAATAGAAGGGAAATATTCTGGACCGATATTTTGATGCTCTCCCTCTTTCTCACTTGCTCTTGCTCTTAAATTCATCAAAGATGCATTCAGGGGCGGACGGATTATGTGGGTTGAACTGAACTCATTGTTTTCGATTAATATGCATATATATATGAAAGAAATTAAAATCCATACATATAATAAGGTTATATTCATTCTACGTCTGGATATTGAGTTTGTCTCTGCATGTTAATGACATAATTAATTGTTGAATACTTGTACATAAGTAATGTTTTTTCCTTTTCCTTCTTTTATGAGTTTGTGTAATTCGTTCTACTCCAGAACTATATAATCCAACTTCAACTTAAAACTTAATTACCTGGCTTATTCCTGGTTACTTATGTATTCCTTTTCCATTACACTATTGGATGCTTATTTAAACTCAACAATTCTTACATTCCCCCCCTCCTCCTCCGAACCCAAAAGTTCAAAAGGAAAGCAGATAAATAAAAACCACAAGTTTCTTGCTTAACTACCAATAGAATGGAAAATATTAATAGTATTAGATACAGATGAAATATTACTAGGAAATTAGTTGTAACAAAAGAAAAATTTCGTAGTAACCTGAATGTCGTTAATTAAGAATAGTCCAATCGTTGAAACTTATTCATCTGATCCCTAAAAGTCGCTACAGAACTTACACTTCGAAATTCACTACATAAAGAGATTTTATATATATATATAGCGACACGGTAAACTTTCAGCTGAGACTAAATATGGTCGCCACAAAAGGTTCCTTTCCGTGCCTACTACACAAAAAGTCTAACGTTCTGTGGCGCACTACTAAAAAACTGTGTAAATTCGTCCATCAAAACCGACCGAAGTCGGTTGGAAATTTGAAAGCGTTGACTGACTGTCAAATCAGAAATTTTAAAACGTTGACTGACTGTCAAACTTCAATTTCCGACCAAATTCGGTCGGTACCAATTAATTTTTTCGTCGCGGAAAATCTCATTTCTGGTAGTGTTTAAACGTGAAGAGTGCGGAAAAGTTTGTGAAAGAATATGACAGAGGATATACCTCAAAGGAGTAAAAAGATTGTTGCCACCTACTCATCACTAGTGGATTGAAGCAAAAGTAGGCATCTCTGCTCTATCAAAGGGAATGGTCTCCCTTCTTTATATCTTACCCCAATTATTCCTGTCTTCTCTCTCATACGCACATCATATTTTTGTGGCTTTCCACCTGGTATTAAATTCGTATTCGCGCGTGAAAGTCTTTTGGGTAAAACACTCTTTAATAAAGGTGACTGCATCCTTAGGACTTGAATTCGAGGGATAACATAGGTAGACAGACCTATACGTCAAGATAATCTATCTCACCTTTCAAACACTTTGGTAATGCTCCAAAATAATGAATCAGAGCATACAGAGCCATTTTCCTTTTTTTTTTTTTTTTTCTGAAGAAGTAGTTATCATTCCACCACAATCCTTGTCGTTCCCACACACCATATAAAGAGATAGTAATAGAAAAGTCTAGGAAAAAAGATTGTCTTTTTAAGTCAACATTGGAGATATATATTATAGAGGAAGATCATGATCAATCCTTTTATTCAGATAAAAGCGAAGCTCTTTTGCATGGAATGCTTAGCAGGCATCATAAGAGGATATCCATTGATTCCTTTGGCATAATTCAATAGCATATCCTTGCGTTTCATTTGAGTGCTAGCTGCTATGGCAATTATATTGAAGCCAGTACTACTCATGTCCCTATAAATTCAGCTCTCCATTGTCTAATAATTAGTTCCTTGAGCCAGTTCAGAAAGCTTCAGATTCTGAAATGTACGTATCATAAGCGCAGTGGCGAAGCCACATGGTCACATGACCACCCTTCGTCGAAAAATTGCACTATATATAGGTAAAATATTACGTTTTAGAAGTACATAACACATATTGAACACCCTTTGTCGGAATTTTTTTTTCACTTCTTTCAAATTTGAATACCCTTGAGAAAATTCCTAACTTCGCCACTGCATAAGCGAACCAGTTGTAGGGCAGCTCTCCTTTTGGCAGATAATAATTATGAATATATAGTTTTTTATATTTGTAATGTCTAGCACGTACATGCATTTGTTATCTGCCAAAGGAGAGTTGCCCTATGATTGCTTTTTTGCTTAATTTATTATATGGGGAAAAGAAGAATCGTGTGCTTCTTCTGCATGGAAATAAAATTTCTTCATTCAAGAAAGATATGATGAAAAATACTTCAGAACAGTGGCGGAGCCATCTTTAACCTAAGGGTGTCAATCAACACCCATTCACCAAAAAATTATATTGTATAATTCGGTAAAAATTTATGTTATGCATATATACTAGTATTATATATTAATTAAATCCCTTCGGCTTTTTCGTGTGTTTAATTTTTAGTGAGAATCTTGACTCTGCTGCTACTGCTTCTGAATACCAGATGTTTGGTGCTTAGTTATTTTCCTTTAGTTGGTAAGTGTTCAGTTTGATTTAGTTTTAAGTAGGGTTTCATTTTGCTATACGTGAGAATTAAAGTTGCGCAGTTCAATCGGTTCTTACGTTGGAGGTTGTAAGTTTTTACTAGCTGGAAATTAAACCGTTTTACAAACTAACAGCAACTATTAATAATACTTAAACAAGTTTTGTGTGAATAACCTAATTAAAGCTAACGGTGTCTGTATGATCATTGCAAGCATATGTGGAGAAAACAATAGTTATTAATTTCTTCATATGAATGAGACAGCATTTTGCTTGGACCTTGTAGTCAAACGATTTGAAGAGTTAGTGCTTCTTGTGGACATTGACCAATTTGAAAAGAAATTGAAATAAAAATCCCCCATATATGCTAACGGTGTAAAAATTATTTACATAATCAAATTACTTGATAGGTAATTACATATATATTTCTTGATAAGCATTAACTGATAATCAGTGATAACTATAAAATTCGTCAATTGTGTGATGAAGTCTTTATATGGTCAGTATATGTATATACTTAAGTCCTTTTCCTCTATAATTTCAATTCATTCTTTCAATTCTTTGCGGGTGTACTGTATCAAATTTGATCTGTTTATGAAAAAACTATTTAAAAGAGAATGAAGAAACACGATACCCTGACTGTTTGGATAATATCATTATTGTTTAACCAAAAATAAGGATTTCGGTCAAAGCTTTATTTTAGAAGAACTCGGGTTACTGATAATCAAATATATAATGAATAAAAGAAATTGACTTTAATAAGCAGAAGAAAGCAAAATAAATCAGTATATTGCAATAGTATTTCGTGTCCTTACAAATGTTCAATCTTTCCCTTTTATAGCTATCTCGAAGCAATACGTTTTTCCTTTATTATAATAGAGTCTTTATGATAATTAATGGCATTAATGTAACGTTATAATTGGTAATCATAACCGATTCATTACAAATTCCATAACGTTTTCCGTAATTATGCCTATTAATTACCAATAATACGTATTTGTACCGCTTTTGCTATTTAAGTTCATTCTTCTGATATAACTGCTGAATATCAATAGGTACGAGCTTTCATCTTTCCTCTGCCTGTGCCTGTTGAAGCTCGTGCCTTTTTACTTTGCCAATCAGTCACTTTCTACTAGTCCACGTGTCATGATATATCACCTCATATTTAATTCTATACACGAACTCAATTTTTTCCAATACAGATAGTCCCCCCACTTGCCATTTATTCTTCAATAGAATATTTGGGAAGTGAATCTCATTAAAGCGGGAATATTTGCCGCCATTATTTCTTCTCTGGAACTGACGCTTCATTTGTCACTTCCATTTAATGTTCACGACACGTGGCATCTCCCGGTTGGTTCTGCAACTTTTCAGCGCTTTTTAGGGTTTTTGTACGGCTTCATTAATTACGAACCGACAGCTTTCATCATGACATTTCTATCATTGCGTCTTTTCCTTTGACGGTTGCTTCTGAGTATTAATATAAGTTTTCATTTTTGTCTTTCTCATAAAAGGTTCAGAATATTCAACTCTAGTTTTCTTCTTCCTCGTACTATTATGTCTTCTTCAAACCCTAACCCTCGGAGAGTCCCTATCGTTGACAATCTTCCTCTTGTTCCTATTAGAAGTAGGAGAGGAGGAATACTTCGCAGTTTAGGTTCTTCATCTTCTCGAGGTCCTTCTCTTCCTTCTACGAGTTTAACTCCACCTTCTAGAACTAGAGGTTCTCTTTCCTAAAGGTCTTCATCTAGAAATAAAGAACCCAATAAACCTCCTCATGAACCTTTGGTTGATGAAACTGTTCCTGCTGAACTATCTTTTTACAATGATAGAGAGTCCATCAGAAACCAAGTTTGCTCTATGTCTTCATTAGATCGTGCTGACATTTACCCAACTCAGATCACTGAAGGTTTGATTTCTGTGGTTCGTAGAGATTGCCATTGGAGTCATGATTTCCCCATTATAATTCCCAATGCAAACCAAAGAATCACTTCTTACTTGACTGGGTTTTCTTTCGTATATACATATCCTTTTACATTGAATTTCAAGCCCCTATTGACCCGGTTATCATCGAATTCTGTCGTTTTTTCGATGTTTGCTTAGGACAAATTGGCCCCATCGTGAGGGTCGTTGCTTGTTTGAGGCATTTGGCCAACATGGCTGGCTTGCCTTTTACTTTCTTTCATTTAATCCATCTTTATTCTCCCAAACTTTTCCATCATGGAATTTTTACTTTAGTAGCGAGAAGCAAGAGAGTTCTGGTCAGCCCAGAGGACGATAAAGACCGTGGCTGGTATTCCAGGTTTGTTGCTGCCCCCACTGTTGGTTTAGTGGGTGAAGAGAATGTTCCGTTTCCTAAGAAGTGGAATTTTTTCACGTAAGTTTTCTTTTCATAACTTTTCTATGCCTTTTTTTTTTATAATTTTGATGGTTGTCATTTTAACTTCTTCTTTATTTCAGCAACCATGGGAACTGTTGATGAGATTCCCAATTTCCGTAGTTGGGTAGGAAAGTTGTTAGGTATTGCTCCGATGAAAGGTATATCTTGGAAAAACCTTTCTCATCGGTT